AAATGCAAATCAAAACCACAATGACATATCACCTCATATCTGTTAGCATGGCTACAGAATTATAAAAAAGATATAAGTATTGGTGGGACTGTGGAGAAAAGGGAATCCTTGTACTTTCTTGGTGGGAATGTAAACTGGTGCAGCCTCTATGGAAAACAGTATGGGGATTTTTCAAAAAATTAAAAATAGAACTAGCATATGATTCAGCAATCCTACTTGTGGGTATATATCCAAAGGAAATAAAGATAGGATATTGAAGAGATATCTGTACTCCAGTGTTCATTGTTCTTACTGGGGGAAAAAAAAAGATAAATATGTGAGGTGATGGGTGTATTAATTGACTAGATGGGATTTTTCCACAGTGCATCATATATCAAATCACAGTCTACACTTTAAATATCTTACATACACTTGTAAATATCTTTATAATTTTTATGTCAATTATACCTCAGTTAAGATGAAAATTTTAAAAACCTGCACTTTGGAGATAAATTTTTAGCCACAAATGCTTTCATTATTAAGAAACACTACAGGGGCGCCTGGGTGGCTCAGTGGGTTGAGCGACTGACTTCGGCTCAAGTCATGATCTCACAGCTTATGAGCGTGAGCCCCATGTCGGGCTCTGTGCTGACAGCTTGGAGCCTGGAGCCTGCTTCGGATTCTGTGTCTCCCTCTCCCTCTGCCCCTAACCTACTTGCATTCTGTCTCTGTCTCTCTCAAAAATAAATAAACATTAAAAAAAAATTTTTTTTAAAGAAACACTACAAGTAAATTAAGCATCCAATATTTTTTTTAAAGAAATTGTAAAGCAAGCTTTTTTTTTTTTTTTTCCAATGTTTATTCATTTTTGGGACAGAGAGAGACAGAGCATGAACGGGCGAGGGGCAGAGAGAGAGGGAGACACAGAATCGGAAACAGGCTCCAGGCTCTGAGCCATCAGCCCAGAGCCCGACGCGGGGCTCGAACTCACGGACCGTGAGATCGTGACCTGGTTGAAGTCGGACGCTTAACTGACTGCGCCACCCAGGCGCCCCTTTTATACACTTTTTTTTTTTTTTTTTTTTTTTTAGAGCAAGCTTAATAGAACAAATGGGAAAGAAGAAAGTCAAATGATTAAATTAGAAAATTAAAAAAGAATAGAAAACATAAACCCAAAAGATCATACATCATAGATTGCTTAGAAGTCTGAGAGGAGAAAGATTTATACCTAGAAATGAGAGGCTATGTAACTAAAGTATGTTTTAGAAACTTTATATCTTAATAAGTTAAAAAAAAAAAAAGATGGAGAAGGGAATGAACCAAGAGTTGGAAAACTTATATAGACTAGTAACCATTAGAAAAAGTCAAAGTAATGTGAGTTGGGTTGGAGGGAAAGGAGTGGATGGTCAATTTAATAGGCAACTTCCAAGTAACCACTAATTCTAATGTTGCATAAATTATTCAGCTAAACCTGAAAAGCTATACAATTAATTTGATAAAGCTACCTATTCCTGGTAAAAGTCTGATAAAGCTAGCATTTAAAAAGATTATAGACTAATCTCACTTATAAATGTAGTTGTAAAAATCCTAAATACCAAAAACAAACAAAAAAACCCCAAAAAACTCCTCTAACAGGCACAAGTATTGTTTTCATCATGACCCAAGGAGGTTAACTCCAAGAACTATAGATTCTGGGAGTATGGTAAACTAGATGGTAATGATATCCCTCCTAGTATAGCATACTGAGATATAATGTGTGTGAACATTTCAAACATTGGTGGAAGTGTAAGCAATTCCAGTGAGAATTCACAAGGATTAGCTGGCACTGGAGTCAAAGTCAGGCTTCTGTCCTCCCTATCCCACCCCAAATTGGGAGAGATATTACCTGTTAGCTTTGTTCTGGGGAGTCCAAGAAAAAGAACCCATAACTATGTATTCACAAGGATTTGGGTTCAAAATTCACATCACCATGTGTGGTCCTCAGAAAACCCAAGGCAGTAATTTAATTTCAGAGGTTGCCAATGAGGTAGCCTTCCAGCACCTGGCAGAGACAAGTGCTCATTCTCTGATGCACTTTTATTTCAGCTTCAAAGAATTCCAAGGAGCATGAGTTCACCAAAAGTAAAAACAAAACCAAAAAAACCACAAACCTACCGTGGGTCAGAGTCAGATGAAACAAATAGTCAAACAGGGAAGAGACTGAAGCTAGCAGATGCAGAATATACAACGAATACGTTAGAAAATAAGAGTACCAAAAGTTTGGCAAATTTTCAGAATTAGATTAAAAAAACAAAACTTCTGGGGCGCCTGGGTGGCTCAGTCGGTTAAGCATCTGACTTCAGCTCAGGTCATGATCTTACGGTTCGTGAGTTTGAGCCCCATGTCGGGCTCTGTGCTGACAGCTCAGAGCCTGGAGCCTGCTTCAGATTCTGTGTCTCCCTCTCTCTCTGCCCCTCCCCTGTTCATGCTCTGTCCCTCTCTGTTTTTAAAAAAAAAAAAAAAAAAAAAAAAGTTCTTCTTATAAAAAAAACAAAAAAACTTCTAGGAAAAAAAAGTGATAATTGGATTGAAGCCCAATACAGTTACATTAAATAGCAGGTTAGACACAGTAAAAAATAGTGAACTAGAAGAAAGGTCTGAAGAAATTGCACAGAATGTAACACAGAGGGCTAGGTGGAAAATATGAGTGAGAATGTAAGAGATATGGAAGACTGAAGAGGTCTAATATGTCCTTGATTGAAATTCCTGGAGATCACAGAGGTAATGGGGTAGGTGCAATATTAGAGAAGGTAATGGCTGAAAAGGTTTGGGGAGCACATGGAAAAAAACATAGTCTTTAGATTTAGGGACCCTAATGAATCCCAAACAGAGCAAATAAAATTAAACCCCCATCTGACACAACATAAAAAACCTCAGGGTACACATTCTGAAATGTCATAAAAGCAGTGGCAGAGAAAAATATTACCTAAGGGGGTAAGGACAATTAGACTGATGATTGTTTGCTAATGGCAATGTTAAAAGGCAAATATCAGTGTCAAATTAGAATTCTTTCTTTTTAATATTTGCTTATTTTTGAGAGAGTGTGTGAGTGGGGGGAGGGGCAGAGAGAGAGAGAGGCCGGCCTGGGGGGGGGGGGGGCGACTCAGAATCCAAAGCAGATTCCAGGCTCTGAGCTATCAGCACAGAGCCCGGCATGGGGCTTGAACTCACAAACTGCAAGATCATGACCTGAGCCAAAGTCAGACACTCAACCGACTGAGCCACCCAGGTGCCCCTAGAATTCTACTTTCAACAAATACCTCTCAACAAATTATCTTCAAGGAAGAGGGCAAAATGAAGATTTTTTTTTTAATTCAGGGAAGCTATATGATTATTTTTAATGCTGAGAAGACAGAGATTCAATGCCTACTGCTTACTTAAAAATGAAAAATGAATAAACTAGGAATAAATTATAAACTCTCTGAGCACAGGGGCCCTGCTTATCACATAATCATACATGTAGAAGGCACTCAATTAATGATCTACATGAATGGCCTTCCTTTGGCAGGAGAGTGGCTATCTGCCAGAAACAGGCAGGCATCATGGGTGATAGCAAATGTTAGAGGCATTCCTGTTAAAGTGTAGAGCAAAATATGGATGCCTAATATTATCACTGTTGTCTAATGTTGTACCTGAAATTCTCGATTGAAAGAAATGACTATGAGAAGGAAGACATTACTAATTTTTATTTTATTTATTTATTTAAAGTTTATTTTTGAGAGAGAGAGGGAAGGAGAGCATATGCAGCTGGGGAGGGGCAGAGAGAGAGGGAGACAGATTATCCCAAGCGGACTCCACACTGTCAGCATGGAGTGCAATGCAGGCTCCATCTCATGAACTGTCAGATTGTGACCTGGGCTGAAATCAAGACGGAGCCACCCAGGCACCCCAACATTACTAATTTTTAAATTAATGGCATCTCCTATTAATACAACAGAAAATAATCAGCTGGAGAACTGTCAGAAGAAATATATAGAAAGATTTGGTCCAGAAGAAATGAGACCTATCCAGGAGCTTGAATACCATCCTTCCTCAGGTTTTTGTTCAAAATTGGAAACATGTATTCCTTCAATGTTATAAATCTACTAGAAACAGGAAGAAGAATCAGGGTGGCTCCTGCCTTCAGGATGAGTGGTAAACAGGGTGGCATACCCATTACTGACTTTATTGGCTGTAATGGATATAAAGGAACAACTTTCCAGTTTTATCTGAGCAGCATAGTGGTGGGAGGAAGAGCCATAAAATGCCTCATAGGTGAGGTGATCCTTAAATTGAGTCCAAATTCAGGACTAAAAAGCCAAATTTTGAAAAAAAGATCCTTAACGTGAATTGTTATCCTCAAATGAGTAATTCACGTGGCCATCTTTACATTTCACAAGTTAGAGTGAAAGATGTTGAAAGTGGAAAATCCATCACTTGACAGATTGTGTTATAAGCTAAGATCAGGAGGCTTTTAATTTGGGGAGTTAATCGTATTGAGTGCTTATATAGATCTATCTTATAAAGAGATGTCTGAAGAAGTCTGTTCAGTTCTAATCTGATCATCCTAATAGGTTTAGTGGGTACAATAGTTGACAGTGGCCTGCTATTAATTAACAAATAGTCTTTTATTTTTAACTTGAACTTTAAGCTGTGATTAAACAATATGATTAATTAGAACACTTGAGACTTGGCCTAAAATTGATGACTTGGGAGCTCTAAACTTATGTCCCATTGTGTTTTTCCTAAGTGAATGTTCATCTAATTCTCTCTCTTTGGGGACATTGGGAAGTACCACTCTGTGTCATGCTTAGTGGTCTCCTCAAGACCCTCCCTCTTCTCATTTCCATTAGTTTTTGTATCTTTTCCCCTCTTAGAAGATTCAATCTCCTGCCCACACCCTACAATTGCTTCAATAAAGTCCTTTTAGTCTTTTAAAGAAGCCTTATGAATTCCACTTCAAACTAATTTATGATTAACTAAAACGATTCTTTCTTTTCTAGGATTGTAGAAATCTATAGTAGACGATTACAAGGTAAACTTTTAAACATTTATTTACAGAAAAACATTTTTTTCTTAAGGAAAAAGTATTTTTGGTTGTTGTTCTTATTTCAAGTAGAATACATGCGACTTACCAAAATCAAAACCTCATAGGAATGTAAGATAGAAAGTCTGCAGTGTTTCAAGCCTCCAGAAGAAATCATTGATGTATTTGCAAACTCCTTCGTATTTCATGCATCTACCAACATTTTGAAATCAATTTATTTTTATTATATTTTTAAATGTCCTCATATTGTATGTAATGGGCTTCACTTTTTTCCCCCTATTTTTTTTCACTTAACAAATAAAACATTTTTTTCCCCCACATGCACATAACTCATTGATTTTGCTGGCTGTTTAGCATTCCATTGTACGGCCGTGCTGGGGCTTGATTTAACCATTTCCTGATCTAATAGATGTTTGAAAATTTTGTCAGTTTTCAAATAGATGCAGTGCTGCAGTGAACACTCTTAATGTGTTTTCAGAGATGAGTTGTTTATTCAGCACAGGAACTGCATTGCATAGGTTAAATGGTTGGTCTCTAGCTTTCAATTCAATACTTGGACTGTAGAGCCTTTGTTAATCCTGTTGCGAGCTACTTGTTCATTTGCATGGAGGTGCTTGTTATCAATATTCTGTTGGTCTCACTGCACACCTAAGAGACAGCTGTCATTCTTAGCATTCCCTCCAGTGGTGCTGAGCCCCCGTCAGTACTTATTCTGCAGGTGAGGGAATTGAACAGCTGCCCCCTGTGGGCCAGGCAGCAGACAAAGCAAACTGGGAAAAGCTGGTGTGCCTTAGCTCTCAAACCTCACAGAAGTCTGCTTTTTAAGACTTCAGATATTCTAAAGACAACAAATACTGTAAAGATGGCTGGGTGTGTCAGACTCCTAAACCGAGCTTCTTGTCACACCCACAGTTCAAGAGCGTCTTACCAAACAAATCGCAGTAGCCATCACAGAAGCCTTGCGGCCTGCTGGAGTTGGGGTGGTGGTGGAAGCAACGTAAGTCTGTGTTTGCCTTTCATAATGTCCTTGTGGTGCCTGGACGTGATATTTAGTCCTGCTCTTTTCCCAGCGCTGGGTGGTGGCACACAATTGACACTGTCCCATTTTCTGTCTCTGAGACTGAAGCTTTTTTTTACCTCTTTCATTTACTGTGTTGTTGATATAGGAACCTGAGTACAGGAGACAGGCTTTGTTTTGTTTTTGGTGAGGGTTATGGAGGTGTAGGGAGTCATCAGTGTAGTGATTTGTGCAACCGTGGCACAAATGTCTTCTCTTGATTTCTTCTTTAGCTCTTTGTTGCTCTATGCAGACTTTTCCTGATATTTTGTCACACGTTTTAAAAAATGGAGCTAAGACTGTGTGCACAGGGCACCTGAAGACACTTATTTAAGTTCGAATGAATTATGGGAATTGCGCACATCTTCTCCATTCTCCTGGCATGGCATGAGCTCTGTGCTGTGCGTGCTGTCTGGCCCCATCAGGTTGCTTAGGCTCACTGTGGTCACCGTTCTCTGGATTCGCCTGGTGAGACCAGCATACTTCAGTGTTTCTCCTCGCACGTAAGCTAGCATTGTGTTGTCTGGGTCCTAAAGACTGTTCAAGTGAAAATTCTGTATTTCTTTTTATCCAGAAGTTGTTGTATTTCTGCGGACCCCTTGTAGTATTTTCACAAGAAAGAAAATTCCTTTTTTTCCCCTTCTGCTAGATGCATCAAAGACTCAACCACTGAGAAACTTAATGAAAACTTCAGGTCAAATCTGTCTAAGAAGTGATAGTGGATACAGCTGGTAGCTGTGAACTCAGTATAATCGGATTTAACTTTTTGGCTTGCTTCTTACTTTAAAAACCAAACCAGCAACTGTCGATTTCTTTAAGCCACCTTTGTTGTCTTGTTTTGTAGACACATGTGTATGGTAATGCGAGGGGTACAGAAAATGAACAGCAAAACTGTGACCAGCACGATGTTGGGTGTGTTCCGGGAAGATCCAAAGACTCGGGAAGAGTTTCTAACTCTCATTAAGAGCTGAACTTCAGCGTGTGTCCTGTGGTTTGCAGATCGTGCCACTAGAAACATTGTTTGTCTGGTCTTAACTGTTTGTACATTCCGTTTCCAGTTGTTACAGATGTGAACTTTATCCCTTGTCACTAATTGTGTTTAATAATTATTTATAGCAATGAAATAAAAATAATTAATAAAGGGGTGAGCCCTCTACTTTCTTCTTGCCACCTTTTAGTGGTAACTGTCAAGGAAACTGCCAAATAGTGTAAGTTACATGCACAAACTCACTGCCATTTGGATAACCATTGGGTGCTGGAAAGGAAGAAAAACTCAAGTATTTCGTTCAAATACTATGGTAATTGGGTTCATAAGCGTAGGAATTTTGGGAATGGGAGGAAATTATGGCCAATATACTGTTTTTTTTCCCCCCTCCCAAAACAAAAATGGTGTAGTGCTTAAAATAATTCCTGTACAGCATGCAGCATTGCTCTGCAAACACAAAGTCCAACAGGCTCCACCATAATCACATTTCATAAACTGCCAGGGCACTTTATTTTTTATATATTTATTTTTTAACTGTCCAGTTATAATGTTAGTCATGAAAGGGAAGGTGGTAGGATATCTATGTTTTTGATTTTACTGTGAGCTAAAAAGGCACGTTTCTACTTTCTGTTCTTTTTTAAATTCAAGTACAAAGAATTTGTTCCTTTTGTTTACGAATGTATTCCCATGTCAACCTACAGGGATTTAGACATTTAACTCTCTGTGCCTTGATGCGAATATCACACCACTTGGAGTGTAGCTACCTTTGCCATTTTTTAAAAAGCCATTATTTTATGAGACTTAAGTACCAACACTGCAAATAACTAGTCCTCACAATTTTACCTTTAGAAGTCTCTTGCAAGCTTACTTTGTGTATTCCTTGTAGATGCCTCAAAACTTTTTTTAAAAGTCTTATCAAGTATTTTTCTATGTATTTCCAGAAACTTTTGAGAATGTCCATCATTTTCAGGTCTGCAGAACCATAGCTTCTGTGAATATGAAAGATGGCAGAATGAACTAACCGTGGACTGCATTGTGACCGATATCCAATGTTTAATGAAAGCTGCATTGTTGGTGCCTATGAAAATGCACTGTAATTTTCTGGAATTACTGGAAAATATAGGAAGCCCCCATATTGGCTCCTCTTGTGGTCCCTGTGGGTCTTGTCTTCAGTGTAACTGTTCAAGTGGTATATAGGTCTTTTCTTCCAGGAAGCTGTTGCCTTATTAATGACTACCTGAAATTTCCTCCACTGGGGCAGTGTGGGGCAAATTAAAACAACAAAGAAAAAACCCAACTCCCCTGCAAAAACACAACCACAGTCATTCCATGGAAAAGTCTCTTATTTGGTTGACCTCATGCTCTTCAGATTTATTCTGTTACCTTAAGAACTAATTGCAGTGCTTTCTTTAACCTTGATGGTCCTAAATCTGCCACTTTGATGTCATTTGACTTATGATGGGACACGGTGGCAGAAGTGCTGTTTATTTATTTATTTAAGTTTCTTTATTTATTTTGAGAGAGAGAGTGAGCGCACATGCGCAGAGTAGGGGCAGAGAGAGAGAGAGAGGGAGAGAGAAAATCCCAAGCAGGCTCTGCTCTGTCAGCACAGAGCCCAATGCAGGGCTTGATCTCACAAACCCATGAGATCATGACCTGAGCTGAAACCAAGAGTTGTTTGCTTAACCAACTGAGCCACCCAGACGCCCCCAGAAGTAATGTTTAAAAAAAAATTCTTCCCTACTTCTATTTTCTATATTTTTCTATACTTGGAGTTTCTGAAATACAGTGTTAATTCATTCTGAGTTCCTTTAAAAAAATCTAATCTGATATAAACATTATCCTGCTTAATGTTTAGACATTTAAGAACTAGAATTAAGCACTCAACTCATGTTTGGTATTTTAAAGTAAAAAAAGATGTGATTTGGAGGACCAAAGAAATTATTAGCTATAAATTCATCTTTCTGAGATCAATTGTATTCCTTTTTAATGAGTCTAACATTTCCTACAAGTGTTCTCATAAAGGTCTAATGTATCTACAGGCTATTGTCTTATTGGTAAATGCAAAGTAATAATCTTGTCTGTTTTACTCTAGTCTGCAGTACTTTAAAATTTTCATATCTGTGAATCCATTTTGGGGATTTTTAAGAATTTGATGCATTTAAGTACACTGTTCAATTGTTTGAATTTTATGTATGCGTGCATCTGTTCCTGAAGTTGGTTCTATTGAAATTATTAAAGTGTTATACCATAGTTTCTTGTGAAAGTAGTTTCTTTCTGAACCACTTGTATAGATATAACAATAGATTATTTTAATTGTATTCTCTTTTTTTTTTTTAATTTTTATTTTTTTTTCAACGTTTATTTATTTTGGGGACAGAGAGAGACAGAGCATGAACGGGGGAGGGGCAGAGAGAGAGGGAGACACAGAATCGGAAACAGGCTCCAGGCTCCGAGCCATCAGCCCAGAGCCTGACGCGGGGCTCGAACCCACGGACCGCGAGATCGTGCCCTGGCTGAAGTCGGACGCCCAACCGACTGCGCCACCCAGGCGCCCCAATTGTATTCTCTTTTACCAAAGATACCCATCATAAGGGCTTCCCTCAGTCATCAAGCTATTAAAATATAAATCCCAGTGGCAGTAGAAATTAACCTGGGGTTCTCTGTCTTCCTTTGGTATTTGGTTTGGGTATTACTGTCCTCACCCTCTGGCTGGTAAGGGAAGAGGAGGTCTGGGGTAAGAGTGAGGAGTCTGAGTGGCCCTCATGTCCCTATTGTCCTAAATCTAAGTTTGAAAAACATCAGCCTCCTGAGAACTGGTGCTGTTTCTGTGTGGGAGCTGTTGGAGGAAGAGCAGGCTGGGGCAGGGGGCCAGGCAGTGCTGGGAGTGGAAGAGAGTTTCCCTCCTTCTTCTAGGGAGGAGCCTGCCTTGGACAAAACTTCCAACGAAGTGCAAAGCTTTTGCTGCCTCTTTTCTGTCTGTGTCTGGTGCCCTTGTCCATACCTCCTCTGGGGTTCTTCTCCCCATTTGCTGCTCTACCTAGGCAGAGGCCCCTGCCTTTCACTAATGTCCATGTGCCCAGATTCTGGGGCTCTGGAGTGGCCTGCTGCTCCTTCAAGGACTCGGTGGACTGTTGGGCGGTGAATCTAGCCACCCAATCTAGAAATGCTTATTGAAATACCGCATTCCTAAAACCATAACTCAGTAGAACAACGAGCTGCTCAACTAAGCCCAAGTTGCTGCCCCTGAGTTTTTTCACTTTTAAAGATTGGCTGAGTTCCCTGTTTTGTCGCTTAGGGAAAGAGCAGTTGAAGACACCAAAGGTTTTAGAGAATGCTGCCAACACAGAACACCTGGATTCACCCTGAAGGGCCTGGGTCCACTTGTTGATGGTGAGAAGAGGGAGTCTCAGTAGATGAGTTCAAGGTGAGGTATAAATACACGATAGCCGCCCCCCTCTCCCCCGAGGTACCTGGTTTATGTTTATTTTAGTCTTTACTATGGAAAAAAAAAAACAGGGGCGCCTGGGTAAGTCGGTTAAGCATCAGTCGGTTAAGCATCTGACTTCAGCTCAGGTCATGATCTTGTGGTCCGTGAATTCGAGCCCTGCGTCAGGCTCTGGGCTGACAGCTCAGAGCCTGGAGCCTGCTTCGGATTCTGTGTCTCCCTGTCTCTCTGCCCCTCCCCCCTCTCACACTCTGTCTCTTTCTCAAAAATAAATAAACATTAACAAAATTTTTTCGTAAAAAATAATTTAAAAAAATTTTTTAACGTTTATTTATTTTTGAGACAGAGCATGAACGGGGGAGGGTCACAGAGAGAGGGAGACACAGAATCTGAAATAGGCTCCAGGCTCTGAGCTGTCAGCACAGAGCCCGACACAAGGCTCGAACCCACGGACCATGAGATCATGACCTGAACCGAAGTCGGATGCTTAACCGACTGAGCCACCCAGGCGCCCCAAAAATAATTAAAAAAAAAGAAAAAAACATACATAACAGTAGATAGTACATAATTACGTGACTTCCATGTACCCATCACCTAGCTTCAATAAGTCTCAACTCATGGCCATCTTGATTCCTCTGTTACCTCCCATCCCCGCTGGATTATTTCAAAGCAAATTGCAGATATTATCTCACCCATGAAATATTTGATTATCTAAAAGGAGAGGAATCACATAAAAAAAATCCATTATCACACACAAAAAATGATGCTTTAATATCAAATATCCAGTTGGCATTCAATTTTCCCTCATTGTCTCATAAATTTATTCATTGCTTATTTGAATCAAGCTACAGATGAGTTCCATACATTGCAATTGGTTGATCTGGTTTTTTTTTTTTTTAATTGTGGTAACACATAATATTTACTATCGTAACCATTTTTAGTATACACTTAGTAACAGCTATATGTACGTTGTTGCACACCAGATCTCTAGAACCTTTTTCATTTTGTAAAACTGAAACCTTATATCCACTGAACTCTTTCCCCCTCCCCCCAATCCCTGGTAATCACCATTCTGCTTCTGTTTCTGAGTTTGACTACTTTAGATTCTTCATATAAAGTAGAATCATGCAGTATTTGTCTTTTTGTGACTGGCTTAATTTCACTTAGCATTATATTCTCCAGACTCATCCATGTTGTAGCATATGACAGGGTTTTCTTCTTTGTAAAGGTTAAATAATATTCCACAATGTATATACTACATTTTTAGAATTCATTAATGTATTCATGGGCATTTAGATTGCTTCCACCTCTTGGCTATTGTGAATAATACTGCAATGAATATGGGTGTGCAAATATCTCCTCGAGAACCTGCTTTTTTTTTAACTTTATTTTTTTTTTTAATTTACATCCAAATTAGCATATAGTGAAGGAATGATTTCAGGAGTCGATTCCTTAATGCCCTTTACCCATTTAGCCCATCCCCCCTCCCACAATCCCTCCAGCAACCCTCAGTTCATTCTCCATATTTATGAGTCTCTTTCGAGAACCTGTTTTTAATTCTTTTGGATATATACCCAGAAATGGGATTATAGAATTTCTATATTCTCTCTATATGGTAATTCTTTTTTTTTTCAATGTTTATTTATTTTTGGGACAGAGAGAGACAGAGCATGAACGGGGGAGGGGCAGAGAGAGAGGGAGACACAGAATCGGAAACAGGCTCCAGGCTCTGAGCCATCAGCCCAGAGCCCGACGCGGGGCTCGAACTCACGGACCGCGAGATCGTGACCTGGCTGAAGTCGGACGCTTAACCGACTGCACCACCCAGGCGCCCCTATATGGTAATTCTTTAAAAAATTTTCAGGAACCTCCATTCTGTTTTCCATAAAATGGCTGTACCATTTTACATTCCTACCAACAGTGTACCAAGTGTTCTAATTTCTCCTCGTTCTTACCAAAACTTGTTATTTTCCAGCTTTTTTGGATTATGGCCATCCTAAGGGGGCATGAAATAATAGTTCATTGTGGTTTGGATTTGCATTTCACTGACGATTAGTGATCTTGAGCATCTTTTCATAAGCATATTGGTCACTTGTATATCTTCTTTGGAGAAAAGTCTACTTGGGTCCTATGCCCATTTTTTTTAAATCAGGTTATTTTTTGTTGTTATTGAGCATGGGAACTCTTTATAACCCTTTATCAGATAAATAGTTTGAAAATAGTTTTCCCATTTTATAGATTGCCTTTTCAGTCTTTGCTTCTTTTGATGCACAGTTTTTAGGTTTGATGTAGTCCCATTTGTCTACTTTTACTTTTGTTGCCTATGCCTTTGGTGTCATATCCAAGAAATCATTGCCCATTTGAACGTTGTGAAGATTTCCCTCTATGCTTTTTTCTAGGGGTTTTATAGTTTTAGTTCTCACGTTTAGATCTTTAATCCATTTTTAGTTAATTTTTGTGTATGGTGTAAAGTATGGGTCCAACTTCATTCTTTTGCAAGTGGGTGCCTAGTTTTTCCAACACCGTTGTTGAAGAGATTCTCTTCCCCCATTGTGTAGCATTGGCACCTTTGTCAAAAATCATTTGGTCATATACATGCGGATTTATTTCTGAGCTGTCTATTCTGTTCTATTGGTCTATATGTCTTCATGCTAGAACTACACTATTTTAATTGTTGTAGCTTTGTAATATGTTTTGAAATGAGAGAGAAAGTGTGAGGCCTCC